TTTGCCGTTGCCTGGACTCGCATCTTTTGGTCGAAATATAACGATGTTGCCGCCGCTGCTCAAGTGCACTTGTGCTTGCCACAAATGGCTGTTGTCCGCCCTCGGCCGGCACGCCCCGTCGCAGCACACCTTTTATGCTAAATATCCCTTTAGCGGGGGCTGGGGCGTGTCTTGGCGCCGTTGATGTTCTGCATCAAATTTCAGAGAACTTGATGTCGGCACCCAGAGCGACAGGCTGAGGTGTCGCTGTCGCTTTGGGTTTGGGCTGGGGTCTGGGTTCGGGTTGGGTTTCGGTTTGAGGTCGCCGCAAAGTGCGCCAGAGACATTTGCATAATGCCCGGGAGCAGGAGCCCGCCCGAAATGCAAATGACTACAAATTAAATGTGGCCAGAGTGCATCAAACTACAAGCAAACACACACACATAGACACATAGACACATAGACCCTGGTCAGACTGAAACCCAAGACACAACAGTAGTAGCCCGATCAAGTCATGTCTCAGGCCGTTAGATTGTCATAACAAATATATGTATATATATATATATATATCATTCGTTAGTCAGCTGATCCACAACACTTTTCCCTTTCCATTTGCTTCTCCATTCCGGAATGAGCGCAAAGAAGTTGGAGCAGGTCTACAAGTGCGTGGATGCCAAGGCGCAGCTGGCTGTCTATGATGCCGTGCCCGTGGACCGCGACACCTTCTGGCGGTGGAATGAGGAGGCATCGCGCAACACGACCAGTGGCCATGAGATTATGAGAATCAGCTGGCTGAACAAAACGATGGCCTTCACGCATCGCGAGCAGCAGCTGCTCAGCATCCACGGCCTATTCCCGTACGCCATCTACAGCCTGGAGCAGCAGGTGAAGGTGTGCCAGCAGGGCTTCGCCAGATTCACCACGCCCTTCCAGAAGTATCTGTTCCTGTCCGACATGGAGGCGCGCAACAGGCGGCTCTTCTACAATGTGCTGATCAGTGACCCGGACACATACATGTCGATCTACAAGGCCAACGAGTGCCCCAACATGATCAAGAACTTCGGCATGCTGTACACGAACAACCGCGGCATGTACGTCACCATCAAGGATCGGGGCCACATCTACAATGTGCTGCGCAACTGGCCGCTGCGCCACTGCGTGCGCTACCTGATGGTGACCAATGGCCACTGCGTCATGAACATGGGCGACTTCGGGTCGAGTGGGGCGCCCGTTGTGTTCTACAAGCTGTACGAGAATGTGGTCTATGGCGGCATGAATCCCGACTGCTGCCTGCCCATTATGATGGACGTGGGCACGGACAACGACTGCCTGGTGAAGGATCCACTCTACTTGGGGGTGCGCCAGCCCCGCACCACCGGAGCCGCCTTCGATGACTTCTTCGAGGAGTTCACCGTGGCCGTGCTGCGCGTCTTCGGTCCGCGCGCCGTCATCCAGACGAAGGACTTCAGCCCCAAGGAAACACTGAGCATGCTGGAGAAGTACCAGAGGCGTCGCTGCTACATGGACATCAGCCTGCAGCTCTTCGGCACCTGCGGCCTGGCCGGCCTGCTGGCCGCCCTCACGATCACCGAAATCAAGCTCCGGGCGAATCAGTTCCTCTTCTACGGCATGGAGAAGTTCAACATCGGCCTGGCCCGCATGTGCGTGGCGTATCTGAAGCGCCAGGGACTCGATGACGCTGCGGCGAAGCAATGCATCTGGTTCTGCGATAGCCATGGACTGATCGTGAAGCAGCGTGGCGAACCCAAGGTGCCCGACGAGCTCTTGGAGTTCGCTCACGATTTCGAGGCCATTGGCACACTGCTGGAGGCCATCGAGAAGCTTAAGCCGACTGTCCTGGTCGGCTGCAGTGCGGAGCCGCAGGTCTTCACCAAAGAGGTACTCAGGGCCATGGAGCAGAGCTGCCAGATGCCCATCATATTCGCCATGTCGCGGCCCCTGCCCCTGGCCGAGTGCTCCGCCGACGATGCCTTCGTCTACACGAAGGGCCGCTGCATCTTCATATCGGGCTGTGATTTGCCGCCCCTGAAGTACGCCAACAAATGGTATCAGCCGGGCTACTGCACCGATATTTACATACACACCGGCCTCACGCTGGGCATCATGCTGACGGGCATGACCACGGTGCCGGAGGAGATATTCCTGATAGTCGCCGAGCGGCTGTCCAACCTGGTCTGGCCCACCGACCTGGCCAAGCGCAACGTCTACCCGCCCCAGAGCAAGTTCAAGTGCGTGAATCTCCAGATAGCCGAGGCCGTGTTCTCCTACGCTTACCGACATAGCCTCGCCACGCTCTGGCCCGAGCCGAGCGATCCCATGGCCTACATAAAGAGCAAGCTCTTCAACCCCCAGTACTCCCCCAGCATTCCCGAGCTCTACTGCACCGGCGATCAGCACGTTGGCACCACCGAGTCGAAGCAATACTACCAGGAGCGCATATAGTTCTTACCCCCGCCTATCGATTAAATAATTAATAAAAGCGCAACTCAAATTGCATATCTTTGGTATGGCAATTATTTGGCTGCGGCGCAGGCTTTCCGGGATCGCCTTGAGTGGCTCAGTCTAGTCACAGTCGCAGAGCAATTAGCTGCATGCACAGTTTTACATGTCAACACATGTCTGCATGTGTGTGTGTGTGTTATTGACCCCCGGCTGGGGCTCGAGCTTGAAACTATTAAAAACAACAATCCCAATTGCAGTTGTATTGTATAATAAATTGAAACAACCACCGTAAAATGGCACAAAACAAAGCCGCAACAAAGAGGCAGCCAAATTAAATTGCATGCGCATGTGTGTGTGCGAGTGTGTGTGTGTGCCAGTGTGTGTGTCCGTGCCTGCCATTGACAGGTACTCCACTGGGAAGCGTGTTTTTTGTGTACTCTCCCTCACTCTCTCCCTCTCACTCTCCCTCTCACTCTCTCGGCGTCTCATGTGAGTTTCATTTCATTTATCAATATGCCAAATGAAATATATACAGCAACTGCCTGCTCCCCTTCTGCCCCCCTCCATTTCTCCGTGCCTCTATTTGCGGTTAACAACGCGAAATGACCTGAGGTCAGGCAATCGCCTTTGCCCAGCTACAGCTAATTGGAAAACTTACATACATACATATAACTATGGCATTTTTTCAAAATACTAGTTAAATGTCTCTATTTGCTGCCCGGAATCGTGCTTTGATTAATTGTCGCCAGTTCGAGCAAAGTTTGATTAAGTTAATATGGGGCATAACATATTATTATGCTGCATATAGAACTATACTGTGGGGACCCAATTATAGCTGAGAATAAAAACCTTTTTTGTATATTAAGTTTGACTGGAAAATGATGTAAGGCTATAAGACTACGGCTGAATGTTGAGTATACGCAGCGTGATCTTTGGAAATCTTGTGAAATATTTCTATTTTTTGAATAGATAATATTAATATAACAATATTAATATTATTAGAAAAAATATGTATATTTTTATATACATACAGAATAATTTAACATATTAAGTTATAAGATCAAAAAGTGATTCACGAATTTTTATATATTTTTATGTATAATTTATATTAATTTATTTATTGAAGACGATTGGCCTACATTTTATTAAAAATAAATTGTTTCATTTAAAATTAAAAAAAAAAAAAATAAAATAAAAATAAAATAAACAAAAAAAAAGTTAATATAAAAAAAATAATAATAAATATAAAATTAAAACATATACAATATACAACGTAAATAAAGACAAAGAAGAGGTATATTAATGATATCACCAATACAGTAAAACCATATTATTTGTTATGCCCCAATTCGTAGTAAAATATATTCAGTTTTATAAGCTATTCTATTCCAGCAATCACTGACATCTCTGCGTTCAATTTACATACAAATGCTGAAATTCTGTAATTCTGTAAACCCACAATATTGAACAGTCAAAGTAAATTAGAGGCAGCCTCTTCATACCTACCCTTTCGTAGCTCTTGCCGGTGCAAATTGAACTAAACATTTGTAGTTAAGAGCCTGAAACAAAACTCTATTTACCCAAAGCATAAACAAATAAGTACTTACACAGAAATCTACTTAGCACCCTCAGAGGAAGAAGGCAGACGAAGGTGGCCCTGGTCCTGCCAGCCGTAAATGTTAAATATGTTCTTAGACTTAAGCTCCGGGAACAATTCACAACTGATGCTGCCGCCAGTTAAGGAAAAGTTTTTAAAGTATGCACCTGGCCAGCGCAAAGGTAAAACGCAAATGGGACTATTATGAATGGTTTGATGTGCGGGAGCACTGGGAATATGGGGATGTAAAGAGCGCAGACTTTGGCTTGATATTTTTACTCAAGAAAATTACAATATCATTTACAGAGTCTATAAACGAATAAGACCTTTAAGCTAAGGCTTAAAGCCTCAAGCACATTTTTTTTTTTTTTTTTTTACACCTGCCCAAAATTGAAAACAATCATTTTCTATTAAAGAATCTTATCACATTTATTTACTGCATTTTTTCTTTTTTTTTTATGTTTACAGCTAAGTTTTTTTGTTTAATTGTAAGTTTTCATAATTATTTACTTTTATTTCCATTTTTTTTTTACGAAAGTTTTAAATAGCTCATGATACGTTCTTCAGGGCAGCTGTGTTTAAATTTTTTTCTTTTTCATTTTTATTTTGTAGTAATAATTCTTTATATATATATTTATTTATGATTAGTTTACCATAGACAGAAAACTGTATACATATGTAAATGTATATATGCAAATGTACTTCAAGCGCGAATTAGTATTAATTTTTTTTTGTAATTTATTTTATATTTATTTTATTGTATGAATACTTTGTAAAACGGGGTTCTCCTATGGTACGCCTCGAATAGTATATAATTTTGTTTTTGTATTTAGTTTTTACAAGGATTTGTTGTTGTTACTATTTTAACTATATAAAGAATATATATATATGTGTGTATATATATACTTATATGTATATATATTTTGAGTTTATATTAAATATGTAATTATTTACTTTTTATATTAGTTGTTTTTGTTTTTGTTGCTGCTTTTATTTGTTTATTTTTCTTTTTATTCAAATACCGACATTGCAATTTGCTTCATTTACGGGTCATCATATTTTTATTTGCTCAACATCATGTGATTGTCATACAAAACATTTCACATAATCTTTGAATTATTTACAATAAATCGAAATCAAATGGTTTACCAAAAGCAAAAGAAACTTGTGGATCAAGTCAGAAGCTCAGAGCATGATTAGCTGAAAAATACATAGAAATATTTGTTGTTTTTCACTTTTATTTTTAATATTTTTATTTTTATTTTTTTTTTGTAGTTCATTTACAATGGTTAGATCCGAGGATTAAGCTAAAACGTTTCTGTATTTCAGTTGCTCTATTTGGGAGTGTGTGGATAATTTCTAGTTGGAAACATTAAAATTTTGGTTTTGTGGCTTTTGCTGAGAAAACTTTTAGAAAAATATTTCATTAATTTACGTAGCATACATATATGTATGTATGTATGCATGTATATATATATTAAGTACATATGGATTATCTGTATATATGCACTTCTTCGATAATGTCGCCAGGCTTGTTGCCTTGGCTCATCGTTCAGAGAGAAGCGTTTAGTTTTCCATTTATGTATGTGTGTGTGTGTGTGTGTGTTTGTGTTTGAGTGCGTTCCAAATGCATTTCAATCTATTGCTGCTGGCAGTTCTATTAATATTTCTCTTGTATAATCGTTTAATAAGTTCTTCTACTTTAACATGCCTGACTGCCATTTCGAGATTTACTAAAATGTATTTGCCACACCAACTGACTTATAGCTATGGTTAAGTATCCCTAAATATATATAGATATATGTGTATGAGTGTGTGTGTGTCTCTGTGTGTGTGTGAGCATGTTGGTCTCAATGCAGTAACTATGTGTATATGCATATATATTGCTTATAGTAAACATCAGGCTAACGCGCCATCTGTACAACAACGGCCCGAATGCCGTTAGCGTGTTTTCATTTAGCCGTTAAAAAAGTCGTCTCTCAAATCAAGGATAAAACTAAATACACGTTACACTTAATGTACGGTTAGAGTTCTGCGATTACAACTAAAGCAGCGCTATGTACAAACTCGCCTTAACCTAGCTGAAGTTGGGCTGATTTCTAGAAGTATTTGTTGAAATTTTGGTTCCGTAAAATACCGAGTTTAGTATTTAAACTTTTGTTTTTGTTTTCTTGTCTACGAACTATTTATACATAGCTATTCGTATAACTAATACTAGAATTATTAAACAAATATTGCTAGTTAATATACAAATTCGTTTAAGATCTTCCCATGGCCAAGCGACGTTGTCTCTGTTCTTGTTTTTGTTTTTGTCTTTTATTTTATTTCTTTCATTTTCTTCTGTTTCGCATATTTGTATTCGATTTGTGCCGTTCGCAATGCACAAAACATCTAAATAATATATACACAAACTGAGGCAAGAAAATGTTGAGCTCAAATTGAATATATGTATATATATATACATATACTTATATGAGTGAGTGTGTGTGTGAGTGTCCTGTAGATGGTTGTATTACGAGTAAATATCTTAGCATAATTTAGTATCATTTTGTTATTTGTTTTCTTTCATATTTTCGTTTCGTTCCTTGTTGAAGCAATCGCAGTCGCAATTGAAATAGAATTAGAATTAGAAATAGAGACAGAGACAGAGAGTGTGAGTGTAAGAGATAGATAGAGCGACTCTCTGTTCCATGTAAAACCGTATTTTCCATTTTTCATTATGGCAGGATCCTTTTGTTAGTAACTTTTTAGCGTTTACTCTTTACACTTGCTTAGCGCCTTCTCCACTTCATTCTGGCTATATATATGGGTGTATGTATGTATGTATATGTTTTCGGTGTACTTTCATATGGAAATCAATCAAATGTGGTTGTTCGGTTTGTGAGACTTTTGCTATTTGATATTTGCTGTTGTTAATTTGAATGCCAAACGAAGAGCACTAAACAATATATATATATATATTGGTGTATATATATGTGTGTGTGTGTGTGTAAATGAAGCAAATAAAAACACATATTGAAAACATATTGAAATATTGTCTTTCAAAAGCTTAAAAATTTCAGTCTTTGTAGTTGGTTGCTCGGCTCTTGTCACTGCTTTCTGGGTGCTGATACTCTCCATCCATTCGCTGCTGCTGCTGCTCGTTGCTGTTGTTGTTGCTGTTGCTGTTGCTGTTGCTCTGGCTAGCTGTAAGCAAACGAAATGGCAAACATGGAAAGCAAACATTAATATCCATTTGTATATTGGCCAGGATTAGACGTGGCTCGAGCCAGAGCCAGAGCCAGAGCCAGAGCCAGAGCCTGAGCTGCAGCTTCAACTTACTTCGACTAGAGACTTTTAGAAACTAGTGCACAGGGCTAGCAGAAACACGAAAATGTACAAGTGCTGGCCAAAACTGGGGCGTGCGCCCGCCGACAAGAACTCGGAGCTGTACAAGTACTCTGAGCGTGGGCAGCATGGTTTGAGAGGGAGCAGAAGAGGCACAGAAGAGGGCAAAGGCCATGAGTTAATTTTGTTGGGATTTGTGTATTAAGGGGGGTTGGGGGCAGCTGGGCAACTAAACTGAGTTGACGTCGCTGTCGAGCCGCATACTCACTTCTGGGTCAGACCAGGGCGTCGTTGCTAAACACATCGTTGACATGTTTGCCATTGCTGCTGCTGCTGCTGCTAGAGCTGCTGCCGCTGCTGCTGCTGCCGCCGTTGCTGCTTGTTGCTGATTTGTCCTTGAGGCCGCATTGCTACAAGCAAAATAAAATAAGAAAAACGCCACAAATGTAATTAGATTCGAATTTCGTGAATTGCTAACGGAATAACATGGAAATTAGGCGCAGGAATCAACGATTTGCATGCAAAATTAATTAAAACAATTAACGACAGCTGCCGCCAGTTGTGAAATGTATATTTAATTGCTATGGATTTGGCCTACCTCCTGCTTGGCCTGCCACTGCTTCATGGCTGATTTGTATTTCTCGAACTCGTTGCACCAGTGCGAGTAGATCTTCTGGTAGTCCTGCTTCTGCGAAGGAGGCGAGCATCTAAAGCGTGAGAGAGGGAGAGAGGAAAGCACAATAAGTTATCGTCGGGAAATTACATTTGCAGCCAGACCACAAACATAGTCAGAAAAGTCGAAAGTTTCCACTTTCTAATTGCGCCACGGATATTTTGACGCCCGAGGCTCGTAAATTCAAATGGGGTTGCTCCACTCACCTGTGCGCATCCACGGTGACGCCGTAGCTGCAGAGCAGGGTGCCATCCAGATAGCTGTCGTATCGGCCGCCATCGCCCTCATTCACAGCCAACAATACCAGGCCGCCTTCGTTGGTCTCGATGTATTTCGTGGGCGTGTAGCGCACCTCGTAGCTGCAAGGAGGGCGAGAAACAGAGAGTGGGAGAGTGGGTGAGTAAGTGAGTGAAAGAGTCTTGCAGAGATAAGGAGATTTTCTATTTGCTATATTCCAATTTTCCATTTTCCATTTTCAGTTTGGTTTGCTGCGTGAAAAAGTGTCTCATTGGCGACGCACAATAAAAATCAATATAAACTGTGTGTGAAACTTTCGCAGCGCCAGCTGAAACTTTTTCCATTACGGACAGCCAGAGCGACGGATCCGCCCTGTGCCGCTGCGGTACCCGGCCAAAATAAGCGTAAACGCCAAACAGCGAACGGACTTGAGCAACATTTTAAAGTGTCAATTTACCGCAGCATTGGCAGCGTTTGGATTTAGAAGCTGCTTCCATGTGGGGGTGTGGGGTTGGGGGTGTTTTGGGGCTGGGCTGGGCTGGGCTGGGGATGGGAGCCAAGCAAAGTTTCGTTTGCACTTCCGATTTCATTATTTGCTTTCAATGCTCATTGGCTCGGCTCAGAGCAGGCAAAGGCTGTCCAAAAATTCAATTACCCTGCCTCTACTCACCGTCCCTTCTCCGTGGAGTGATGGTACCAGCGCGTCTGCTTCTTGCGCAGCACATCGGGCATCTTGACGAAGCAGGAGAGGTGCAGCGTCTGGCCGTAGGAGGAGGTGACGCGCTTGCGCAGCACGCTCGTGTCGCAGATGCCGGACGTCTCGTTGGCCACGTCCTGCAGCAGGCCCAGCTGATACGGCCGGCAGGCATTCACCTCCTTGTCCCAGCCGCAGTACGGATCGGCCACGCAGCGGAAGCAGCTGTCGTAGCGACGCGCGCACATGGCCAAGTCGATCTGCTTCACCTGATGGTCGGTGGCCAGGTAGAGCGAGGCCGTCTTCTGGCTGAGCGTCAGCTCCCGTATGGGCTCGTTGCGTGGCGACGCCTCAAAGATGTCCACCAGATTCGAGTGGCGTTGGCCGTAGTGCATGAACTGCACGATTTTATAGATGTGTCCGGTGCTCGTGGCCACAAAGTAGACCAGAAACTCTTGGTTCAGTTTATCAATGCGTATTCTAGAGAGAGAGAGAGAGAGAGAGAGAGAGAGTTGAGTTGATAAATCGCACAAGTCTCCTCAGTGCCGACAGTTTTTGTGCAACAAATCTCAAATGCACGCGACTTGGCTAACTTTTTCCTCCTCGCTAGCTTTCAGCTTCTTTTCCTTCTTCTTCTTCTTTCTGTGTGCAGCAGCAAAACAAAGCGTTTAACTAAAAGCATATCCTGCGGCGCAATGTTCATAAGTTCCGGCCAAGTTATTTTACAAGTCGTTATGCCACACAACAACACTCGCAGCAGCAGCAGCAGCAGCAGAAGCAAGAGAGGAAAAAAAGAGCAGGATTTTTATGCTGTCAGTGAGCGAGTGCTCCCAAATGTCAGCATTGGCCTGACTGTTGTCCTGGCTCTGGCTCCGGCTCTGTCTGTTGGCGGTTGGCTGTTGGCTGTTGGCTGTGGCTAGTGCAGCGAGTGGTGCACTGTATAAACTTGGCAAATGTCAACAGGCTGAGGCGAATACGTGGCTGCTTGCCAAGGGGCCGCCAGAGGCAACTGTAGCTGCAGCTCCGGCTCCTGCTCCAGCTCGCTAATGAATACATTTACACATTTTACTTACTTGTCGACGACGAGGCGGGTGAGTATAACGTCTCGTTTGTAGAACACCGGATTGCCAAATTCATGATCGACCGCCTTGTCCATTAGCGGATGTTTGCGTATGAAATTTAACACCGAGTCCGGCAATGTTGCGGTGTCGTTGTGGCATGTGCCCGGACGTGGCTCCGGCACTTTCGAGTTCAGCACGGGCAGCCAGGCGCTGTTCGATGTCGCCTGCTCCTTGAACTTGCCTGCAAAGCAGAAAGAGAAACTGAATGAGAGTGGGCAAGAGCAGGAGGGGACACGAAGAGAGTGGTTTATTTTATAGGTTGCATAAATGTGCAGCGCTGAAAAGTATGCTATGTTAAATTTATGTGTGTCAGCGCTGTGGTAAATGATAAATTACAGAGCTCTCTGCGCTGATTTGTGGCCCCGGGCCACAGCCGGAGTCTGGCCAAAAGTAAAACAGTTCGAGCTACTAATTACACACACACACACACACACAGACGCATACATAGTGAGAGTTGAAGTGTTTGCTGCATAATCATTTGTTTTTCATAATTAATTACTTTGGCAATAGCTCGACTACATTTTTTCACACATTGCTAGAGCTTTTTTTTATATTTTATATAGATGTATTTATATAGATATGTATATATGCATGTGTGTGTGTTGCAACATGCCCGCAAAACTTTTCATAATGAATTTTAAGTGTATGCCAGATTTTTTGCTGCCATTCGCCTTTTGGCGCTGTGTCGACTGTCTGCCGTCTGCCGTCTGCTGTCGTCCGTCGGCTGGCCTAACTGAGTGAGATGAGTGCTCTGGCACAGCTCCATGCACACAATTTTTATGGTGTTAATGAACTTTTGAGCAAAGTGCTGTCACACACACTCACACACACACACACACACGCACACATAACGGGAATTTGCTCCACTTGAATTTGGCAACAGAGTTGGAAAACAAATTTATGTGTGTTATTTATAGATACAGTAATCACACGCTAATAAGAATTGGCATAAATATTATGGAAAAATAAGAAAATTATTTTTTTTTTTGAATTGGAAATTAAAAATTCTAAGTTTAACTTGCAAATAATTGAGCTCTAGTGCCATATGCAAATATAAATTATCAAATATTAATTAAAAAATATAATTACTTAATAATATAATAAAATCTAAGCTTTTATATAGTGTCTAATTATTTTAAGGAACTTCAAACTAAAGTAAAGCCATTGAAAATATATTTGTTTTTAAATAACTCATGTCTTTAAAAATCTATTTATTATTTTCATTATTATTTATTATTTATTTTCTATTATTTAATTTACTTAAAAAAAAGTCTTTTTTGTACTACTTACTTGATCACTACACCAAGAAAATTTTATATTATATTTATGAAAATTATAAATTATTTTTTAGAAATTTATTTATTATTTAATCAAAATGATTGCCACATTTTCATTATATAAATTTTCAATACTCTTGAACCAAGCTGTACTCTCAGTCTCCCTCTATCTATCTCTTTCTCTCTCTAATCTAAATTTATATGTAGGCAACTTTGCTCGATCCTTCGCAAATGTTATTCAACAGCAATTGCTAACGGAAATGAGCTTCAGAAGCTGCCACAAAATCAACAAATGTCGCTGCTGCTGTTGCTGCCGTCACCTCAGACATTTCGTACAGTGAATTTAGCATGAGAAATGAGAGTGGGTGGGGAAGATCACAATATATGCGCATATTGTGGCTGAGGAGACTGCCACTAGGATTAAAGTATATGACATGCATTTCGGGGTGCATGCCAGACTTTGTTGCATTGCAAATCGCATGCGTTTGGATTGCGTGTGGCTGGCAGGCGGGCAAACCGTGCAGCAGGAGCAGCAGCTGTACAGGTACCGGTGGGCTGTTAGCACCTGTCACGCATATCTAGTTACCGTTAACCATGCAGCACGCCAGCAATAGCAGCAGCAGCAGCGGCAGCGCCAGTCGAGCCGTTTTGTAGCAAATGTTAAAGCACTTAAAGCCGCAGAACGAGCCCCAGTGGCAGGCACATCAATTCAGCTCGCACCATTTAACGCTAAAATGCCAAAGCTTCTCTGCACGCCTCACACACACGCACACACACACATGCAGCACCTGTGAGCGTAATTTCTTCCGGCAGCTGCAGCCCTACGTAATGGGAAATGCTGGAAGAAGTCAAACGTAGCCGCATGCACGTTCGTAAAAATGGCGCCGCAGAGAATTATTGCCAATGCAATAAATCTCACGCTTACACTCGCAGACGCTGACGCCGACGCCGACGCCGGCACAGACACAGGCATAGTAGGCACACCCACTGGCCCGCCCTGCCGACACAGACACACTCACTCACACACACATATATATGTATATATTTCATGCAGTCACCCACTAACCTTCAAAGGCCGCATTGATATCCCGGATATCGTAACTGCAGACTGCCGAACCAATCAGTCCGTTTGTATTCGTTGTAAACGTGGCATAGAACTTGCTATCGTCGTTGGGCATCTTGTAGACGGATTGTATTTCGTTGAAGTAGAAGGGGAACTCGCTCGAGATGCTGCAGTTCATGCGCGCCTTCAGATACGTCGCCCAGTTCTGGCTGATCATGTACTTGCCCCCGCGATCGTTCTTGCAGACGCGTGCCACACGCGAGTAGACGGCCTTGCCGCAGTTGATGTACTCCACGGCATGCTCGCGGAAGAAGAAGTAGACAAAGTCCCCAATGTCAAAGGAGCCAACGAAATTTGGTTCTGCAAAATGAAAAATGGAAATGGATTGAAGAGAAAAATATGTTAATTACGGCCAAATTTTGGAGTAAACGAAATTCACATTATTTAAAATGAAGAATTTAATTATTTTTTATAATAATTATATAAAATATATTTTATTTTACTTTTGCTGAATTTATAGTACATGAATTATAATACTTTAAGAGGTCATAAATATTATAATTCTTTATATTTATTCTACAAATCAATAACAATTTTTTGACATTTTTACTGTATTCTATTTTATGTGTATATCTTCTTCTTTTTAATATAATAATAATCTGAAAATGGCTATAAAAACCAAAAACTTGTTTATTCGTTTGATTTGAAGATATTTCGGATCAACATCATTTAAATGCATAAATTTTGTACATTCTTCAATACATAAAAATCATTTCATATTTTTATCATATTCATTTTATATACGTATCCTATTTTTCAAAATATGAAGTGAACCATCAAATATGTTTTCTTTATATATAAAGCTTATATTTGCAAATATTTTGCAGCCATTTTTTGAACCAAGTAAAATTTTTTAAAAGAGAATCAAACAGGAAAATTTAATCTTATGTTTTATATGTATTATATTATATATATATATATATATATTTATTTATATTATATTAACTATATTTGTATTATATTTTACTCTTATTATATTATTTTATTATATTATATTATTATTATATTATATATTTATTATTATTTATTATATTATTATTTATTATATTAAAAAAAATATTTAAAAAATATATTTTAAATATATAAAAAATATCAGGTAAATCAATTCATATTTTCAGTTCCATATACTCACTGTCTAGTAATTTGGAGTCATATTTAACAGTGCGCTTGAAGTTGGCCTCTTTGCGGCCATTGGTGAAGTTGAAGAGGTCCGAGCGAAATATAACCGAGTCGGCTTTGGTGAATTCCGCATTTGTGCCCGCGTACTGGTGTGCGTATAGGAAAGTAGAAAGTGGAAAGTGGAAAGTTGAGGGAAATGGATTATGCTGAAGTCGCTGTGAGTTGGATCGCAAGCAATGCCGGCAAATTAGCGCCAAATATTCGGGAAATTTGATTTGCCAAGGCAAAGGCGAAATGTGGCACACACATATACACACACAAACAGACACACACGCACACGCATACACGCAGGCACACACAGGCACGCACACAATTACGCGTAAAGTGTAAGCACGTGCCTCAGAGCCGATTCTTTGCAAGTGTTTGACTCTGTGTGTGTGTGTGTTTGTGTATGTGCATGTACATGTGTGTGTGTGTGCTTCACTCTAATTTAATTTCAGCTGCTTTATTGCGACTCTTTTAAATTTCTTGCCATTTGGCCTCCCATAGCCGCACAGAACTTTGTCGCTTCCTTCCTTCTTGCTACTCTCTCTCTCTCTCTCTCTCTCTCTCTCTCTCTCTCTCTCTCTCTCTCTTACACACATGCACACTCTCTCTTTCGCCTTTGCCTTTACTTTACTTTTGTAATTTTATTACAATTGACATTTTTCCCTTTTTTTTTTTTTTTTTTCTTGCTTGTTTTTGCCCTTGCTTTTCTCTTTGCTTTTCTTTTTCTTTCCGTCGGCATTACGCGACTTGGGCGAGACTTGGACTTACCAGCGCTGGCAAACCAAAGGGATTTCCGTTTTCCACATAGACGGCGGTTGAGTTGTCAGCGGGATCGTAGGGACACTTGCCGATGCCCAACCCTATGCCGGGCACGTACTGGGATCTGGGTAAATGTGTTAAGTTGGCCTGGATGGAGACGGAGATGGAGACGATGATGGAGATGTCGATGGAGTTGGAGAAGGCAGAAGGCAGATGGGAGAAGGGAGAAAAGAAAAAGCGCATTAGTTGACTTTAATTTGGGAATTTGTTGCTGGCTGGAAAATTAACTTCCAGCTTGACTGACATTCACAATTAGGCGCTGACACAGCCAGCTCTAGCCCAGTGAATTTTTGATGTATTAAATACATATATACATATACAAATACAAGTATATGTACTCACATTTATAACGTAGTCCTTGGGATTGTGCGCATTGGTGCCGCAGACGTAGAGTCGATGTCCATTGAAGTTCATTGGCTGAATGACGCGTATGTGATTGCGGCATTCCACCTTCTTGACAGGTGCCCGAATGTCGATTCAATATTCGGTTGAATGAAAACAAATGTTTAAGCAAAATAATTGTGTATGTGTGTGTGTGTAATGGGACAGATAGAGAATGTGAAGGCAATGCATAAGTATCGAATCGAGATGAAGGCCGTAATATTTGCATGCAATTTCGGTTAGTTAATTTAGCATGGATTATGGATATGTTGATAAATGTTAGCTATATATAGGGCACTTTAAATTAAGACGCACCTCTCGCTTGCCCTTGGACACACAGTTGAGTATGTCGGAGCCGGTGGGTTCCAGTATGAGCACATCGCGCTAGAAACAGAAGAGCACAAAGAGAAACAAATCAGAAATGTGGGCAAACAAATGATTCCTTAAGTACTTAAAGCATTTGCTATGCTCTGCCCATTGCGCCACGCTTTACAAATATTCCAAAAAGTTTATTGAAAGCGTGATAAAATTTCATGCTTATCAAGAAGGCAAACGCGACAGCCAAAACAACAACAGCCACAACAAAAGAACTGCGCAACAATTGGAGATTGGAGAAATGTGTGTGTGTGTGTGTGTGTGTGGGTGTGTATGGAATGTGTGCGTGTGTGTGTGTACAACACGTACAATCAAGACGCCCATCTCATATGCCAGTATTCTCTCTCTCTCTCTCACTCACTATGTACACATTTCTTTGACTCTGACTGTGACTGTGCCTCAGCTACGCTGCTCTTTTTATTCCTAACCATTGTCGATGTTGTTGTTGTTGTTGTTGGTATTTCACTCACGTTGGGCATTTGTTTATTTAATTCGATTTTCGCCTGCACTTGAATTTTGAACGCGCCATGCGAATTATTGCCAAAGCAGGAAGCAAAAGAAAAGCTGATTTGAAAAGCCGTCTAGTTGATTGCGATGGAGGGGAAGGGAGTGGTTAAGCGACATTCTCATTCGAGTTTGGCCATCGTTAATGCGCCGTGCTTGTGTATTCAAAGAGACGCACCTACACACATAGAAAAATCTCAGAGTTGACACACTTTGCGCTGCGGCCATGTGAACACAATATCCTGCCCGGCTGACAGTTTGCAGTTTGCCTGAGACGGAGACTGAGACGGGGACTGAGAGACTGGCAGTGCACTTTAAGGCGCCCGTCCGCCTCCTCGGGCAGCGGCTAAGTGCTCCGGCTTCAACTTGAAACGCAATTTGCGAGCACGAACTCGGCTCTGGCCGTTTAGGAGTCAGCACAAATAATTGCCGTTGAAAGCATTTGCCGCCGACTGGGCCGAAGCGTCGCTCAGATGACTCTAAAGATGTGGCAAATGGCTGCCAGTCCAGTACGCAGCTCTCCAGAGCTCTGCAAAATGCGAGATGCGAGATGCAAGTGCGGACTAGCCAAATGCCAATTCAATGAACTTGAAACGGAAACGGATATTGATAGTTGAAGACGAAATCATTAAAGTGCAATTGTGCCGCCCGCTGGAGCAGTGTGCGCGGGGGCGGGGTGGTGCGCTGTCTACATAGATCTTGGGCAAAACGGATGTGAGGGCGCACACAAAAATGCCAAGTTTTTCGACTTCAGTTCCGAGCATCGTAAATCGCAAGTCGAGAATCTCAAATACTTTATGGTTTGAAATCACTTGGCAATAAAATCTAACAAATAAAAAAACAACAAATATCGATTAATTAAAGGAAGAGCCAAGGAAAACAAAAAAAACTTTTTAAACTGCTTTATTGTGTAAATAAATATTTAGGAATCAAAGCACTAGACTTCCTCTAGGGCTACTGCCGAGGCTCATATTTATTGCATAGAGTTTTTCTTCTTTATATTTGTCAATTGCTTTTGTCTCTTCAGCTAGAACACTTGAATAGAACTGCAATAGAACTGCCAAAATATAATAAAGCGACCTTCCGCCTCGAGTTTCAAACTCAAAGTGATTTCATATGGATGTCTATTTATATGGAGAGCAGAGATTAATGAGATGTGCACTCACTTTCAGGCTCTTGCATTTAAATCTTTCTACCTTCACTCTCTCCCTCACACTCTCTCTCGCACACTTCCCTTCAGTAATCGAAATGCCATAATTTAATATCCTTCATTCTGAGTTTGTCATATGGAGAAATTTGCATTTGGCATTTTGACAGTTTTAATTAGTTTTGTAATTATTCTTAATGAAAATATATTAATTAAATTTTATGCAGCTCTGCAAGTAATCATCGATCTGTCTTTGTGCATTTGACACTCTGCTTAATAATTGAAGTTTCATATGATATGATAATATTTTGAGTACTGAATCCAGTCTGAATTGAAGTCTAAATGTGAATGCCAGCAGAAAGGAAAATTACGAACTTATTTATATTGATATATAAATATTAATGTACTATAAATATTAATAATTTAAGAGAAAAATATATATAGACTTCAAATATATAGACTTTTATTCCTAGTTTGAGCAAACTGAAAACCCAACTTAAATTAAAAACATTTTTTTTATTTTAAAGCCAAAAACTTCAACTTTCATTTAAAATATAAATAAGTGCATCATATTCAGAGCAAAGCTCTTGAAAAAAAAAATGAAAAGAAAAAGAAATAAACGCATCGCAGCCAGACATATGCTTAAACAAACTTATGCACAGGTGTGTGTGTTTGTGTGAGTGTGTGCAAATATTTATATAAGAGCATGTCACAGAGTGTGCGAGCACAAACAGCAGCCAAACACAAACTCGACAAACATCTTCAGTGAGTGTCTGGCCAGGTAAAAAGCCTGCAAGTGAGTGTAACCTGTTCATATGTAAACTTGGGTGTGTGTGTGTGTGTGTGTGAGTGTGTCAACAACATTCTGTCTGGCAAGCAATACTGAAGAGGCTAAAAGTGTCTGCCCGCCTGTGTCTGTGTGTGTGTGTAGGTGTGCGTAAGTGTTTTGTGCATTTACATGCGCTTTTATAATACCCTGGAATATATAGTAGAGGGTATGCTGGATATGCTGTATTTACATAGGAGAAAGCATCAAGAGGCTGATTTCATCTAAATCTAGCTGCAGACCTATAGAGCCATTGAGAACTGGTAACGGCTTAAATCAAACGACCTACTACTATACATATAATATATATTATATATGTGTATTGCATATATTGTAGTTAATGAAACATAAAGCAAAACTTAATTTGCTCATTTCCAAATGAAAGTAGCTTTCTCTTTCTCTGGCTGTGTTTCAAATATTTCTAGGAACTTCTCTGCTATGCCTATTATAGCTTTAGGGTATACCCCAGTCCATCATCCCCAACTATCGCCCATTTCACTTATATTTTCTTAGCAGCATTTGTTTTACCTGCAGTCAATTGAGATTTGACTTTAACATTTACTTTTGCTTTTACTTATGCTTCTGTTCTTGCGCCTCATTTCACTTACCTCGCATATCGATTGGCTGATGTTGCGCAGATTGAGACGAAAAATGCGATCCCTGCAAGAGATAATAAGAAATATATTAACAGTTGTTGTTGTTGTTGTTGTTGTTGCTGGTTGTTGCAGATAGATAGATATGTGGCGGCTCGAGTGACACTTGAGCTAATCCCGCGCTCGTGCCCCGACACGCGATAAGTTAATGCTCTGCTGTGCTGTGAAACGCAATCAGCACAAGAGCGTGACCTTACACACACCCGCAAACACCCTCACACACACACACACACACACACATACAGGAAGTGGCTGAGGAGCAGCCGTCAGTTTGTCAGTCGGCGGCATCCGAGCGACTTTCGAGAACGACTTTGCCTGCTGTCAAGCAATTGAAATTGTCTATTTGCTGGCGTCTCTCAGTCAGCTATGTCTGTATCTGTCTCTGTCCCTCTCCCTCTCTCTGTGTGTGTGTCTCTGTACCTCTTTGGTATTTTTTGAAAAATCGTTGCGTTGCACATGGCTGAAGCGCAGCACCTGCTCATCACCGGCGTCTGCGGCGGCCTGTTACGTTTATTGCACTGTTCGGGCTCGTGATTGATTGATTGATGGATTGATATATCGATGTCGCAATATTGCGTCCATGGGCCCAGCCATACGGACCAACTTTAACAGCATTTGCAGTGCCCCCCGCCCCCTCCCACTAACTCTGGCCGGCTACTCAAAAGTTTGCGGAGACCCGACTGAAAAAGGGGAACGCGTCGACGCCGAAACTCGGTGCTAAAGTGTGTTTTATGTAGTTGCCGGCAGAGTTTTAGGCCCTGGCAGTGCGGCGCCCCAACAACTCGAAACCATTAATCTTCATTGCGAGAACTAGGGGCAAGCAGCAGCCGTGGCAGTGGCACTGGCAGTGGCAGTGGCAGTGGCACTCGCTGCTGATGATGCCCCGACGACCGCTGCCGGCTGTGGGTTGCGTTGGAAAAATGGCGCTCGAGTCAAGTGGTAATTTTGGTTACTTTGTTTGCCAGCGCTTTTCGGGAGGGAGCGGCGAGGGACCGCAACTGTTAAAATGCGGCCATGTTCAACTTGCGGCAGACAAATGAGCAGACGACGACGGGCATTGTCAAATTGAGCTCGAGCACTAGAGCGACCTGCCCACAGCTCTCAGCTCTCAGCTCTCTGCCCTGAACCACCCGACCCCGACCCCGACCCAGACCCAGACCTCAACCCCGACCCCGACCCGTAACCGAATGGAGCCCTACCGCAGCCATCAGTCCCTCGGCTTTGGCTCCCTCGAACCGCACGTCGAGCATTAATTCATAATTATGTATGCCGACAGTGTTGCCAACAACTCTGGGCACTTTGGACGCTGGGCTTTCAAAAATGAAATATGCAGCTTCAAATGTGCTGAAGCTTTTCGCGTAGCTGCTTTTAGTGCCAGCCGGAAGTTCACACAGTCGCACCGGAAGTGCGCAATTAACGCGGGCTCGAGCACGTCAAATGGCAAACCGCAACGAACTTAGATACCAGCCGTACGCCCACACATGTACAGTAAGGGTATACCCTTAGCCCAGCCATAATTCTAGCACGGTGTACTTACATGGCGCCGACGTAGAGCGCATTGTTGCGCTCATCCATGTAAAAGGTTTTGTAGTGCAGCGGGCCGCAGCTGAAGTCCTTGACATGCTCTGCAAGAGAGGAGAATGCATTTCACATGAGTACAGGAATACAGATATCATATAAGCACATTAAGTATACGCCGCGCAGTAATAAATAGCGCACATTACGTATACGCCACGTTGCTAATCTAGCTGGCAAATCAAAGTAAACAAAAGCTTCAGCCTACTTAAAGGTCGCAGAGCGGGCCCTCTGCAGATTTCAGCTTCAGTTAATTAAAGTTTATGCATCTATTAATGAAACTGTCAGCGGCAGCGTGTGTCGAGCGAACCAGAAAAAAAACTAATTAAACTATTATAATTTAGCTGAGAGAGCTAATTTATGGGGCGGCTGCAGCAAGACAAAAGAACTTGTGTATAAAGCGGGAACAATACACTAAATATACACACACACACACACACTCGCACACACACACACATACATGCATGGCAGTTGTAAACAAACAGCGAAGCCTGGCCTTGCAGATTTGACAGCGACTGCGGGCCAAGTGTCACGTACTCAGAGACGTCACGTGCCACGAAATAAATGTGTGTATGTGTGAGTGTGTGTGTGTGTAGGTAACACCACTGTCAATGCCATTAACGAAAGATTGAGGCATTTAGCTCAAATTTTTACGACATTAAGTTGTCAACTAATTTGGCGCAATTAGCAGGCAGCGCTGAGCGGGCCAAAAGGCGACCAAAACTTTTGAGTCTTTGGCAAATCCTTTGATGGCAGCGCTAAGAGTCAATTTGAGTTGTTGCCCGTTCATGTCAACATACAAAATAAAACAGCGGCTAATGAGCAACGACTGACAATGGCCGCCACACCCATACTCCCACTAAAAAAGAACAACAACAAAAGTAGAAGAAGATGAAGAAGAAGCAACGACAATAACAGCAAAGAGAGGCTCATCAAAATGAGCAGAGCCTGGGCCATTCCTTTGGCAGTTTGGCGGTGATTTGCATAATAATAGATACATAATGAATAATAAGCAAGTATCTATGTAAATAGTCGCCGCCCAATGGGCGTGGCTCACTTGCTGACAAGTTGACCCTTATGCAAATTAGTCATTGTTGACCAGGCCCAGACCCAGACCCCAAATGCGGAACAGCATTATTTTAACGATGCGTAATTCCTCTGCTTGAGCTCGCCTTTTTTGTTTCAATAAATTTTTATGTTTCTTGTCATTTTCCTAACAACATGATGACTTATTTTATTCGACAAAAGTTTCCCTATTTTATAGTTGTTTTTTTTTTTTTTTTAGTTTTAGAAATTAAAATTATTGTAGGAAAAAAATTTAAAAATAAATAAATACATAAATTAAATAAAACAAAAATAGTAATAAAATAAATGAAATAGTAATAAAATATTGAAAAATAAATAAAAATATAATATAATAAATAAATAAAAATCAAATACAAATAAAATATATTATTAATAATAATAAATTAAAATTATATACAAATAAAAAAATAAAAATAATAATAATAAATACAAATTAAATACAAATAAAAAAAAAATATTAATAATAATAACTAAATAAAAAATAAAATAAAATAAATAAATATTATCATTAAATATTGAAAGTATACTAGCTGTAGCTCAGATTATAATTGTACGCATTTCACTCCAGATCAGACACATTGAAACACACAGAAACATAGACAGCTTTTGCTTTAATAAACGATATTTCTTATAGTGTAATTTGGTAACCCTAATTTGTATGTATATATTTCTTCTAGGCTTCCGCGTGCATTCAGAATTTCATTAGTGCTGTTGCAATGGCTTGCGGCGCACTAAAATTTGGCCTAAGACAAAATTTGAGGTACGTAAAATGCGTGGGGTGATTTGCTCGCCCTCTCACACCGTCTTTCACTTAGCTCTCTGCTGGCCTCGAAGCACCAGAGCAGTGTAAATAAAAGCCGCCTCAGCCCGCCCCTGCGCAGCTGGCATGCGAGTGTCCTGAAGACGGACTATCGCAAGGTTGTGGATCCAAAGTATAACAAGGTAAGCCAAGCCGTATGGGGAGCGTGTTGAATAGTGACTAAGGGTCAACCACACACACACACACACACACACACACCAGGGCACAGCCTTCACACACAAGGAGCGCCAGATATTGAATATCATTGGCCTCTATCCGAGCTGCCATCGCACCGAGAAGGAGCAGCTCTTTGCCGTCTATACGAACTTCAAGGCGCACAAGACCAATCTGGGTCGCTACATCTATCTACGAGCGCTGCGCGCCCGCCAGGAGCGTCTCTATTACAGCTTCATCATCGATCGCATCGAAGACGTGATGCCCATCATCTACACGCCCACGGTGGGCATAGTCTGCCAGAACTTCAGCCACATCTACCACACGTCCATGGGCCTGTACGTCAGCAAGTACGACAAGGGGCACATGACGCACGTGCTCAACAACTGGCCGGAGACGGACATACGGGCAGTGTGTGTGACAGATGGGGAGCGCATCCTCGGGCTGGGCGATCTGGGCGCCAATGGCATGGGCATATCGGTGGGCAAGCTGGACTTGTATACGGCACTGGGCAGGATTCCGCCGCAGTATCTGCTGCCCGTCGTGCTCGACGTGGGCACCAACAATCAGCAGCTGCTGTGCGATCCCATGTACATCGGGGTGCGCGAGGAGCGCTGCAAGGGCGAGGAGTACGATGAACTGGTGAACGAGTTCATGCAGTCGGTCGTGAAGGCCTTCGGCGTGCAGACGTTGATTCACTTCGAAGACTTTGCCACGCCCAATGCCTTTAGGTTCATCAAGAAGTACCAGAGTGAGTACTGCTACATCAACGACGACATCCAGGGCACGGCGTCCTGCGGCCTGGCCGGCTTCCTCGCCGCCGAGCACATCACCAAGAAGCCGCTCAACGAGCACGTGATCATGTTTGCTGGCGCCGGCAGCGCAGCGCTGGGCGTGGGCAATCTGCTGGTCAAGGAGCTGCTGAGCCGCAAGATCAAGGAGGAGGACGCTGTCAAGAACATCTACTTCATCGACGTCGATGGCATTGTGACCAAGGGCAGAAAGAAATTCGTCATACCAGACATCAAGCGCTTCGCCAAGGACTTGCCGCCCGAGAAGAATCTGGAGAAACTGGTGGAGGATCTGAAACCCTCGATTCTGCTGGGCGCCACAGGCCAGGGCGGCATCTTTACGGAGAAAATTCTACGCAGCATGGGCAAGAACCACAAGCATCCAGCGATTCTGGCCTGCTCCAATCCCACCAACAAGGCCGAGTGCACCGCCGAGCAGGCCTACAACTTCACAGAGGTAAGCGAACGCACTTCACCCACTCCACCTTCACCCACTCCACCTTTATCCTCTCTTCACTGCGATTTCAGGGTCGAGCATTGTATGCTTCGGGATCGCCATTTCCGCCAGTCGTGATTAATGGTAAGCGGCTAACGCCGTCGCAGGCGAACAACGCTTTCTCCTTTCCGGGCGTGGCCCTGGGCGTTCTCTGCACCAAGCCGCACACCATCACGGACGATGTGTTCCTGGTGACAGCGCATGCGATTGCCGAATATGCCCGAGAGTTTGCGCCCAACGAGAACGCGCTCTATCCGCCCGTCAAGGAGGCCGCTAATGTTGCCTTCCATGTGGGCGTGGCCGTGGCCAAGTACGTCATCAGCTGCGGCGCGGCCACCATCTACCCGATACCCAAGGACATCACAAAGCACGTGAAGGACTATCAGTATTACACGGATCTCGGCACAGCTCTGCCCTCGGTATGGCCGTACCCAGAGCTGGCTCGCTTGCCACTGCCAGACAGAGATGAGGAGATGGAGTGCGCGGACTGAGCAGGCGTGTGTGTGTATTATACATTATATATTTCACTTGTTTCACCTGAGCCAACAGAAAAGAGGCAAAGACAGGGACGTTAGATAATATATCCGAAATAAAGAGATTCAAGTTTAAGGATCCGAAGTGAAATATTTAAGAGTTCTTCTTTCAATGTGCATGAAAATTTTCAGCAGCTCTTGAAGAGAAACCCGATGATAATCGATAGTTCAGCTTTCCCTCTTAATCTTTCCATTTCCCAAAACTCAGTCGATTTTTTATAGAAAAAGAAACGAATAGAAAAAATTATGTAAAATTGTAACGTGGCTCTATTTTAAGAGTTTTCGCTTGTTAATTACCTGGCCTTAAACTGATTCAGCCTGTATCTAAGTTTAGATTTTTAGCTGCCCTACTATAAACTTATTTAAACTTTTCTTAAGCTTAAGCTCTCAATATTCGAGCGAGTCGAATGTGCCCAACCTGCACGTGTTGGCAACAATAGCAACAAATACGACCCAAATAGCGTCAGCAAAATGTTGAGAATTTTAACGTCATTATTGTCTGTCAAAGCGACATTGACATATGTATGTGTGTGTATGTATCAGTGTGTGTGTGAACGTTGCTGCTTTGCATATAAAATAAGACGAAATGTGTGCTCACCAAAAATGTCAATCAATTTTTTTTAAACGTCCTGCGTACATATATTTGTTTTGCCTTGTCCTTGCCGGCACTCCCTCTCGCTCCCTCTCTCCCTCTCTCTGTCTGTCTCTCGTTCTGGCATGCATGCATTAAAAAGCAATTGGTGTTAAAGGAGCAGTCACGTTGTCTGCCTGTCTATCAGCCTGGCATGTGGTTGCGCCAGCATGAAAGACCCTACTCCAGCACCAATTGGTGTGAAAAGGACATACATAAACATACACACACACACACACAGACAGACACACATATACATATACAGAATACCCGTTAAAATATACAAAGAAGGCAGCGGCAGCTCGAAAAAAATATGTAAAATCATTTTCTTCAACTGACAGCTGTCAAAATATTTGCTCTCTGTCAACTGCGCGCGTTGTTGTTGGCCAAGCTGCGTCTTCGATTTTCCAACCAGCTGTATGTGTGTGTGTGTGTGTGTGTGTGTGCGGGTGTGAAGTGTCTCTGCAAATTTCATTTTAATATTCATTACTTCACACTATAATGCCGAAGGTTATCATTGACCGGACCCGTCTGCTGCTC